GTCTGATAAATCTACAGACCAGCAGTTCAAAACCATAGTTTTGATATGAGTTAATTCTTTGGAAAACCTTATTTAGCAGTTCGCCAGATTCGGATGGCAGCACCATTAGTTAAAATTATCTAAGATTTTTTTTTTTACTTACACACCAAATGTGTCGCTTAAAAGTATGTACATAATTAGTTTTCTATCAGCAGTCATCTTTTAATAATCCATAAAAGTCCCCAAATGCCAAGCCTAAAAAGTAAAAAATTCCCAGAAAACTCCCCAGTGTTCGGGAGCTTAATATGTTGTAAGAATGCAACAATAGCTAACGCATTGCGAATCTTCGAATGTTAGAATTTAATATGAACGCCAGACAAGTGTGGGATAAAAAAAACAAGTCGACGACCAACTGAAACAAAGTGTATGAAATAATCCATGTTCCCACAGCATAAATGAATGAATTCAATTCACATACATTTGTAGATACGTCTATCACGTCTGCTAACACACCGCGGCTTCACTCCAACAGAAAAAAGGCCTCACTATAACGCTACTCAACCGCGACGGAAGGCCATTTAAAGTACTAAAATGAGCAGTAAATTTCTGATTCCATTCAAAGTTTACCTCGTAGAGCAGCCAGTTAGACAAATGACCGAGCAAACTCATAATCTATAGAACTACAACAATAGGCAAGTTACACATGTAAAAATACATACAAACATACATATGTACATATGGACAAACGTCCAATGGTGATTAGCAACGCAAACCAAAACAAAAAGCGCAGACTATGTGCGGAGCTGGAAACAAAAGCATAGCTGAATGGCGAGAAATAGACATAGACGTGAAAATTGGTCAAACTTAAATGCCATTGAAGCAGCCCACTGAACCACAACGTCGCAAAGCGTGAGCAATGCCACCCGGCTAATGTTTTCGCTAGCGACCACTAGCCCCATTCGCTCGCTCCAACCCTTGTTCGAGCGGAGGTCGTTGTTTTTGTCGACGCAGTTATTTGTAAGCTAATAAACACCCCCACCGCAATATGGAGATGGGCCACAGCACTGGAAGGGGGTGGAGCAATGTAGCGACGCAGTCAAGCAAGACAATCATCATTTTTATGCGATTTGCGGATTTTGCTGTTTTTGTCGACTGCTACATAGCCGTCCTCACCTCTCACCACCGCCGCGCTCACTTGTCGCTTGTCATCTCCAGCATAGCGACAATGACGTGCCCCTGTATTTGTCATTGTTGTCATATGTTGGTAGGCAGTGAATCGTTAGCGGTCTTGGTCGGTCGGTAGATACATCAGTATGTTATGTCTGTCGGTCCGTCACATAATCGATACATAATTTTGCCCTACTATCGAGAGTGTGTGTACACTGATGAGCGCGCCGCAGCGCAACGAAAGAGAGCTCGCGCGCCCACAAACCATCGAGGTAAACAAAACAAAAGCTTAAAAGAGAGCGCTGTGTTGCGAAAGAGCGGCATACTAAGTGGGGAAAAACATATTGCTGTTATGTATTGCTTGGCTGTTCATTCGGCCGTTGGCAAGTGGGTGGCTGATAATTCGGGCCGTCGACAAAGCTATAGTCGAGTGTTGCGCGCCTAAATAGATACTTAAAATTGTTGTTGCATTGTTGGATTTCGGTGTTTTGTTAACCTAATCTTTGCATTTTATTTACGTTGTTCGTTAGTCATTTTCTGGAATTTTATTTGCATGCATACTGTGTACATACGGAAATTAATTAGATCTATTTCAAGAACAACTGAATGTCAATATGAATATAAGAGAGTGGCTCAGGTAGTTTTTGAAACAACCTTATTAATAAAAAAAATATATATTTTAACAAATTTTTTATTAATTCATTTACCTTTACCGAGATTTGATTTATGAACACTTTCAATCTACATATATTAACTGCGATAGATAAATATCATCGGGTTGTCGATCCAAATTTATCGATATTTTCCTAATTCGATAATATTTTTTGTACTAGGAATACTATATTATTCTTTCGGAGATAATCAGTAAGTTCGTAACTTTAGGGTAGTTTTAAAATATGTCTAAGCTACCCACTTCTGGTTTTTCTTCTGATGCACCAGATTCTGGTGTATTTTACTGCACTATTTTTATACTCTCGCAACCTGTTGCTACAGAGTATAATAGTTTTGTTCACCTAACGGTTGTTTGTATCACCTAAAATTAATCGAGTTAGACATAGGGTTATATATATATAAATGATCAGGATGAAGAGACGAGTTGAAATCCGGGTGACTGTCTGTCCGTCCGTCCGTCTGTCCGTCCATCCGTCTGTCCGTCCGTCCGTCCGTGCAAGCTCTAACTTGAGTAAAAATTGAGATATCTTTATGAAACTTGGCAGACATGTTTCATGGTACCGTGAGACGGTTGGTATTGCAGATGGGCGTAATCGGACCACTGCCACGCCCACAAAACGCCATTAATCAAAAACAAATAACTTGCCATAACTACGCTCCGCAATAAGATATAAGACTGTTATTTGGTACACAGGATCACATTAGGGAGGGGCATGTGCAGTTAAAATTTTTTTTTAAAAAGTGGGCGTGGTCCCGCCTCTAATAGGTTTAATGTGCATATCTCCTAAACCGCTAATGCTATAATAACAAAATTCACTGGAAGCAAATGTTTTTAGCACTTCTATTGACGGTGTGAAAATAGTTGAAATCGGGTGACAACTCCGCCCACTCCCCATATAACGGTACTGTTAAAAACTACTAAAACTGGGGCGCGGGCTACCGAAAAATTTGGTCAGTTTTGGAAATCAAATTTTTGAGAAACACTGCAAGTTGACAGTCCTTGGCAGAATTAAATCGAATTCGTTCGGGTTACAAGACCTGACTGTTCGCGGTAAGGACAAAGGTTGCCCTTAGTGCATCCATGTTTCTTCGAGTAAACGAGGTGCCTTGCTCTATAATCTAATATTAATAATGATGTTGAGGGCCACCTTTTCTAAAAAGCAAAAACAGACACAGGTCATCGTCACGACCAAAGTCTATCGCATTGCCCAAATTGGATCCATGAAACTGTTTTGTTTCAAATAGGAAAGGTCACTCCGATCAGAAAATATTAGTCGAATGACGAGTTAAAATAAAAGTCTGGTTCAAATGTACGAAACTAAATGGATACTATGTTGAGCAATAAACACCATTTTTCTAAATTTTCATTCTTTTTAAGTAGGTCATATCGCACCGCCATATATATAACCCACACACATGTTTTTAAGTTTACAACCGATAGTCTAACAAAATCTTTGTGCGTATGTTGCCAGGGTATAAATAATTAGATGATAACACTAATTGATGGAAGATTTTATATTTTCTTATATTTTCGCTTGAACTGTTATCTAATAACTTTTTATTTGAACGTGTAAGCGAATATTATTTTGAGCACACAAATTTGAACACACCTTTCCAATAATTTTCATTTCGACAAATATAATATAGCCGACTAAAAAGCGATAAGGATTATTGTAAATTTCTCTAGAACCGATAGAATATATGGATAATATAATTAAATAATTCAGTTTAAAACACAAACTGCAATTTCGGATCGATAAAAAGTCAAATCTTCTTTTCTAAATACGTTGCAGAAGAATATTTCGTGTTTAATGTAAAAATGCTTGAAAGCAATAGTATATTATACTCATATGACTCACTCAACATATTTGTATAACTCGATATAGCACGTATGCAAGTCGACCATATTTATGCTATATATTATATGTATGTATATATACTAAAGAGCAAGATTGTATATTTAGTGAAGCAGCACAACCGGCAGCAGAAATCGCGATATAAAATAACACTGAACTTGTTTTGCACGAATGCCAACGTCAACTGAAACTGACTGAAATGCAGGCAGTGGTCGCCAGCGATTTTATGCAGAACGAAAACTACCGGTAAGGGCTTTTAAGTAATGGATCAATAAATAGAATATCAAATAAACAAACAAAGCGACAAATAGTGGACTTTCTAAGAATTTGAAGGAATATTTATAATTGTTTACTATGGAGTGATAAATCAAATATAAGAATTTATTATCGATAACACAGTAGTGTCATGATGGGGCTTATACTCGTAGTTTTGTTTAACAGAAATGTTAACTTCGGCTGCACCGAAACTACAGTGCCACCTCTACAAATTATAGGTTTCCATAAAGAACTGATTTTTAACTTAAAATGGCTTTGTCTCGGAACGAATATTTTCAAATCTGGCGACGATGAGACATATCCATTTGAAATTTTAACTACAACTTCGAGTAATAATAAGTACGTAGAATTTTCATTATTTTTCAACTTTTTAGAAACAATTTACTGCTCATATTTTAATATAATCAAATATTTATAATTAAAATATTTTTACAAGCCCGCCTTTTCGCGAATAATTATGTAAAGTTACAAACAAATAATTTACTTGCTAGTCTGATGAAGATTAAAATTCCGTTGTTTAGATTAATTCAAAGAGCACAAGTTCCTAGAAACACCGACGCTCGTACAGGCCTTCTTGAAAAGGTGATTCTAAGGTTTGACTCAGTAGCCGCCGCTTCGTATCAAATTGTGAATGGCGAAACTTTTTATACACTCAAATACACCTTTATTAAGCTTGAAGAGAAAAATTCATTCTCTTTTCAACAATCAAACAAATGTAGAAGCTTTAAACACACTGGAAGGTCAACTCCACTTGTTCATAATCTGAGTTCCGGTCACGGAAACATTTTCGGCAACGAAAACGACACGAATGGCCAAGTTAGGAGTCTCTCAGACGAATCTGTGTCAGAGATAATACCATGTTCGCTAGGAACGATTAAAGGGAGAGCAATACACAATTTGAAGAAATAACTCAGAGCATATGGAACTATATAAAATATGAAGCCAATGTGGCCTTAGTATGATAAAACTAGAAAAAAAGACTCTTGACTAGGTCCAGAAGTTATATACCGACTTAGAGCTGCTTGCATCGGCCATTTGGAGAACATGCGTTCAAAGGGACAATATTTGCCGTACTGCAAATCAAGGGAATACGGATTGAGAAATTATTTCTATACACTGCATGCAAAAGTAAGTGATCGTGAACCGTCGAAACTATTTCAACAAATATTTATCTACCAAACGAAGATGAGCAGTGCAAACCACCTGTACATGCTTTGGAGGTATAGTATTGGTTTTAATACATATTATTTTAATTACGAAAGCACACATTCACACACACACACACACATAACAATAGGCGCTTACATTTTGTTGTGCCTGCAGCTGATGATGTTTGCGATGGGCTGCTCGACAGGGAATCCCCACCGCCGGCGTTCGGACCACCACCACCACCAGCACTGCCACCCACACTGCCATTGCCGCCGGCAACAATGCCCGCACCACCGCCGCACTATTGTTGCTATTGTGAAATGACTGAAAGATATCATCAATACATTCATCGCCGCATTAAATCGCACGGTGATTGGTACGCTGCCAGTGGGTTTGCCGCGCGCCACCTGCCGCATTGCTATTTCACCTGCAAGGCAAAAACAACAAAGAAATATGTGTTATACATAACCACACATACATAATACATAAGTCATATGAAGGCATTAAAAGGCTTTTGTTGGAGTGTTAGACAGCTTAGGTATTACCTTTTGGAATTTTAAGTGAATCCATTTTATGTGTGTGCGCGTTCCCAGCGTCTGCTGCTGTTAGCCGATCGTCACGATACTTGACGAAGTGTCTGCTGTTAAACTCGTCGTCGTTGTTGCAGTTTGTAGCGGTGTCGACGATACAATCAAGAGAGCATGAATTAACTCGTCGCTTGATTGAATAACAGTTGTCTGTTTTGCAACGCAATTAATTTGCTTCCTCAACACTAACACCTTCTAATGATATTTCGTACTTTCTGTTATGCTAATTTATTTACTCTTCAAACTGCCAACTTTAACTGACCGTCTGCACTGGTAATAACGGTGCGCAATCAGCTGAGTTTCAATTTCTTTGAAACGGTACAAACTTTACGCAACTCTAATTTAACACAAAAATAAATCTGTTGCCAACATACTATACGCACGCGAAGTGAAATACATCAACTGCACCGAATGCGTTCTACTTCAATAGCGCCGGTCGACTATTTAAAATGCCCACACGTTGCTTCTCTCGTGCGTTCCGACGGTGGTTGTGCTTTTTCTGGCTGCTGTTGCTGCTACTCAAGATGCCCTAATTTAGAAAGCAGCATATGCACAAACATACATACATACAAATGTATATACATATATATCACGAAGGTGAGCACACGAATGAAGATGGGTTTTGGAGAGTAAAGATACACAATTCATCGAGAAAAATTATAATTTCGTATAAATATATGTATATAGTTTTGTTTTTGTTATTTTGCATGAGCATTATTGAGTAACCGCAGTGATAACAAAACATTTTGTAGAATAATAGATGTTGAGTGAGTATTGGCGAATTGTTATAATTATTTATGTGCACACATATATGTACATACATATTTACACGCATACAAACATATGTATATAGGTGTGTGTGGTTTGGCCAGTTCAAATGATTTTTATTTATATTTTTTTTTTTCGTTTGAATTGCAGTGAGTTGATTGTTGCATACATTTGCATGGTGGGAATGTTGTTGTTGTTCGCGTACAAGCAGTGGTATTATACAAAGCAGCAGCACAGCAAAACAGCAAGACGAAGAGTAGATAAAGGAAAATTGTATGAATAAGTGAAATAAAAATAGTAGTACCGGTATGTGCAAATATAAGAATGGCAATTATAGTTACAGCTAGTGTTAGCAACTAAGTTGTTTCAAACAGCTGTAAATATTAATTTATATGGGTTATATATGTGGTCAATGTATGTAGAATCTTAGTTTATTTGCATTTGTACTATTAAAGTTGTTTTAAACTTTTAAAATCTAAATTAAATATTATTATTCATTGAAGTTACGTTTTCTGTATTAATTTTAAATAGTTTAATATTATTTGATATTAAAGTTAATATTAAGTAATTTAATATATATTTATAATAATTGATGTTTATCGCCTAAATGTAGGCTACAGTACCTAAATTATTTAAAAACAAGAAAAACGTTAACTTGGTTGCCCGAAGCTATAATACCCTTTACAAATACAAAGACTCCTTACAGAACTTGATTCCGATCGTTCAGTTTGCGTGACAGCTATTTGCTATAGTGATCCGATCTAAACAATTTCTTCGTAGATTACATTATTGCTTTAGAAAATAATCATGCCAAATTCGTGAGGATACATAGTCAAATGAAGAAGTTTTCATACAAGTATTTGATTCTGATTTGTCAGTTTGTATGGCAGCTATATACCTAGTAGTCCGATATCGGCCCATCCGACAAATGAGCAGCTTTTATTAAGAAAACAAGGTCTGCAAAATTTCAGATCGATATCTAAAAGCTCGTCCCGCTGATCATAATGTATGCTGTCATAGTAATACTTTAAGGGTTTCCGACGTTTCTTCTGGGTGTCACACCTTTCAGACAAGCTTGATAATCAGGGTATGATAAATATTTGCCTACAATGAAACAACTTAAATAATGCTATTATAGACAAATTTGTAAAGGATTACTGAAATTTGCAATTGTAGGTGTTCTAACTCCACACTGTCAAATATACAATATCTGCCAGCATGTTTTGAAACAAGTCTATGCACTTGCTTCAATAAAATCGCCTTCAAGAACATGAAGAAGCACTTACACGAGGTGAGAAAGGATGTCTTTAAAGGCGCAAATTCGAATACCTCATAAACCTAATTAAACCTTCCACAAATGTTAGTAGGTAAACACCTACAACAGCTTTTATTTCTCACGGCAAAACATCATAAATAAAACAGTGTCTTTGGAGATTCGATTAACGCAAATTAATTTATATTGTTATAGCTAACAGGTTTTGACACAGAGTTATGTATTGATATGTTAAGTGAAAATTTAAAAGCATTGATTTTGATTAAGTCAATGACAGCTATATATTGAATATAAGTATATAGTATATACGAAGGTTTGATATAAATAAGTAATTAGAACAATTGTAAATTTTGATTAATTAGTATAGCTCAGAAGCGAGTCAAGTCTATTTAAATTGTACTATTAAACCAAAATTATTGAATACTTGCAAAGTATGTCTCAACGAAAAGAAGTCCCACATCAACAACAACATCTACAAAAACTGTGCAGTAGTAGCAATAATTATTTACGACACTTTGACCATCAAAACATCAACCACATTTGCCGCTGATGACCGAACAAATGCGTTAAAAGATACAGTCATGAAGATTTATCTACATGCATACATGACTTCTCGCATATATGAGATATTTATTTATATTTTCGGTCATTATATTTATTTTACATTAAATGCTTAAGCGGCACTCTTTGCCGTGGCCACTCTTGAGGCGTTGACGAAGCCGTGATTTGTAATACACAAGAAACTCCTTAGTTTATTTTCCTACGAGGGCATGATTGTGAGCTCTACATTTGTGAGTAAAGCGGTATTTCCCTCATTTCATTTTATTGTAAACTAAATTAATACAAATGACTAATCGGCGCGAGGCAGTCGCTGCATAAAAATCAAATAGCAACCAAAGATAAGCTGACAGCAGCTGTTGCTGTTCATTTCGATCTAAAACATCTTCAATTTCTCTACTTTTGGTTTTTGTTCAATAAAAATTGTATTTTAATAAATAAACGCATGTCTACTAGTTCGTTAACTTTCCATGTGGTTTTAAAAGAGAGTTCTACATTTTAACATTACTTATGTCAGTTGCTAGAAATAATTAATAAATTAAATCAGATTTTCCATTTCGATTTATTTATTCATATTATTATTTTGTTTTCTTTAGAATTACTTATTTCGCATATCAAAAAGAAACATACCTATGTACCTATATGCATATTGGCACACCTACTCGGTGCGGTACGCATTAACTTGCTGATAACAGTAATTAAAAACCGATACCATCAGTAGATAAATGCTATTCGCGTTGTGAATCATGAAAACATGCGATTAGTTTGACATAAAGTGGCATATTATAAACATCATATTCTATGTATGATATTATATGTATATTGATAATTTTTCATATTTATTAGGATACACATACCTTTAACAAAACGTACTAAACTTTAAACCGATATCTCAAATAGTTTTGAGTTACAGCATTCTAAAGTGTAACCACTTAGTTTAGTAAATTTTAAATTTTTATACAGTAATACAAGTATCTTATAGTATTGTAGTAATTTCTTTGAGGCTTCATCCACAAGAAACCGGAATCACTGCAGCAGTGGAAGACATTTTTAGCGCCGTCAGAGATCGCGTATAACGCGAACAATAATTAATTTTTCCTTTGAAAATTTTACTGGGTATTTCTAAAATATGTATGTATAAATATACATCTAAAATTGATATAGAATACTTTTTAATTCGCAAAATTCGCTTTTTAGGCTGTCACACCAGGTGTGCCAATTGATCTCTACTCGGAAAACATGCGGGAAGAACTAATGACCTCCTAATTCGATCAAAATCAATAGTAACGAACATGCCTTCATTTTCACCTCAAATCCATATTCATCGACAATCATATTATAATTTAAGATAATCGTTTTGCGAAGAAGCAGATATTGGCTTTCTATTAAACACTATATCTTGTCCTGTGGCACAAAAACTCGACGTCTAGGATAGAAGGCTGTAAGCACATTCACGATCATAACAACGTTCGCTGTTATTAATATATATAAAATTTTAAATCGGAAGTGCAGGATCACAATGGTATTTTTCAAGCTTTCTAAAAATAATGATTTCTGAACACTCGAAAAGATTTTCTATTACGCGCAGTTTGTATTGCTTCTAAAGAAAGGCTTTTAAAGATAGATAAAATTGAATAAAACCTAGTCTGTTAAAAAAAAATTGCATACCGATTTATATGCGACCAAAGTTGCAACCGTATGAGCATCTTCTTGGCTATTGGAGAAGGTTTTATACTGCTCTAACGTATGCGTATACTACAATTTTGTCGCGTTTAGAGGAGGTTGAAACGTCTCTCCATAGGTCCAAAGCTCAATTTTTAATCATTCCTTGACCGTCTGCTACCGGATTCAACGCAAATAATGTCTAAGCGATTTAAGTCAAAAGTTTAAGGACTAACCTAATACTCGTGTATGTCCGAATATATTTATAAATTAACAACTATCAAGTAAAAACGAATTTGACTTTGAACTATGAGTACATACATATGTATATTTACACAAGTACATTTAAATATGTTTGTATATAATAAATACCTATTCATATATGTACATACATAATAATTAGAGTTAATAAGATAAAATTGAGCTATTATATGGCTCTGTTTCACATTACATGTGGTACATATATATGCAGTATGCTAACAAATTTGAATATCTAATTCATCATAACCTACAAATAATATGTTATTTTAAGAATATTGGACCTCCAATTATGAATAACAAAAATATAAATATATGGTATACTAGTAGTTTCGAACCACGCTGGCGTGACTATAGTATATATTAAAATCAATTATAGAAAATTATTCAATACAGAAAAATCTTATTTACGAATAAAGGTGGAAACGTTATTGAGGTGTATGAATCAGAGAATTGCACTTGAAGTTTAATTTCGAAAATGAGTGATCCAAATACGGATTACAGAACAAAAATAATATAAACTATCGAAAATCGCTTTATTGTTTTCAAAATATTCTCCATTAATATCTATAAACTTGTGCAACCAATTGTCGAAGCACTTTTGCTACTCTGATTAGATATTTTCCAAAACATGCGTTCTTTTCTGAAATGACACGTCATTTTATATAGGTATAAATATATATACCTATTTAGATATATTAAATTTATTAAAACAACGAAGCCTTGAAGTTTACTCAATTTCTAATGTTTACTTAAGCATTATTAAAATTGATAATAATGCGATACATAAATATACAAATATTTATGTTGTTATAATTAACAAAATCCAGCAAAAATGTATCCAAAATGGATGAAATGACCTAAAAATGATAAAACGAGAAGAATATTATGGTATTGCCTTATACCCTGTTGTATAGCTGATCGAGGTTAGTCCATAAATAACGAATTTCCAGATGCAAGAAAAATTTTCGCAAGTGCATTTCTATAGTATAAAAGAATATAAAAATATATTTAACCTGATTTTGATCGGTCAATTTGGACAATTCGTTCGAGATTGTAGCGCGTAGCCTGAACAATAATCTATGCCATATATTTGTTGAGTCTTTTTGTCAATAAAGAAAGTATATGCAGTGGTCCGATCTTCTCAATTTCTTAGGAGATTGCACCGTTGCCATGGAAAATAATTCATGGCATTAAGAAATCTTATTAAACAAACAAATTTCCATACAAGGATTGAATTTTGATTGATCAGTTCATATGATAGCTATATTCGATAGTGGTCCCATATCGGCGGTTCCGACAAATGGGCAGCTTCTTGAGGACAAAATAACAAAATTTTAAACGCTATTTCAGAAGCTGGGGGCTAGTTGGCGTATATACAGACGCACAGACAGAGAGACGAACATGGCTTTATCGACTCATTTCGTCATGCTGATCATTTATATATATATACATATGGATCATATATTGTACTTATAGGTCTTACATTATTACAAATTTCGATGTAAGCTAGATATACCCTGCTCAGGTTATGCAAATTTACATATTATCTGTTTTTAAATTGTTTTCAAAAACATTCGAATGGGTTTTTGTACAAATAGATTTTACAAAAATTAAAACTATCACCGATTTCTTGATTTCAAAAATAATATTATGCTCGTTAACGATATACCAGAACATCACAAAAAACAGCAACATGAATCTTCCCATTCATATCTAGTAGAAATTCTTATCCCGAGTAGGGATGTCATAAAGCCCGCTTGTGTTTTTCGCGCCTTAGTTTTCATAAAGGTTTTCAGGACTTCTTCCGAGTTGTATGTTTTCTTCTGTACACAAAGAGATATCATCACATATCAGAATAAAACAAGTATTTCGAGATTCGACAAAAACAAATTTTCGAAATATTAGGAAAACTGAAAATACAAGTTAGAGCAAATAAATACACAGATGAATATAATCCAAAAATATAATTTTACCGGATTTTGTAAACCTGTATAACTAGATAATTTAAAGGTGAATATTAACTGGATTTTCCATCTATTCTGATATTATTCAAACAATTTTAATACCAGTGGCATAAACGTTGAAAATCCCGTTATAATAATAATCCGAAATAATCTTTAATTCATAAAACTTATTATTTTCTATTCAAAAGCTGCGCCTCTCTCTTTTAATAATTGTACATATGTATGTGGTAAAATATTATTGTTGCAAGCGAAGATCTGAAATTAATCTAATTAGATTTGCTAATATAAATCAGAACAAGTTTTATTGTAACAAATGAAATTTAAATATAATTTTTCAATGATTTTGCTCTCACTGCACTTTCGTACACTTTTACGGATCAAAGCGAAATAAAGGTTAAGTATGCTATCAATATTCTCAACTTTCGATATAATTAATTGAATGCGTGTAAACAATTAATCAATTTTACTGCAATCAAATCCCAATGAAGCTTGAAATGAATACGCTATGCGTGACACGACACAAGAGCCCCATTGTACGTTAAAACATGTGTGTATTTACACAAAATGTTCCTGTAGAAAAACATGGCTATTGAAATATCTGTTTAAATAAGTTAAACAATTTTTATAGAGCAAAAGTTGGTTTTCGTGGTCTACAAAAATGACATTGAGCAAAAATATAAAAATGGAATATGATTTCTTATTAGGTGTTCTGAAGATCTATAGAGAAAATTAGTATGTAATCATGCTCATGATCTTCATATATTTTCAACTTCTCTACTCACTGTGAAAGATCGTGTGAATTGAGAAAAGAAGTTTCAAACACTTGTCAAACTTCTTCTATTTAATATCTGATAGCGAAATGCAGTCAAAAATCGATAAAAATTCCGACAGCGACTGAAGTCATAGGGGAACTACTATTTACCAGATAATATCAAAACAAATACCTGAAATATGGAGAAAAATTAAACTTTTTTTCACGATAAACAATGAATATATCTTAAAATTTGAAAGGAGGAGCTTAAAAGTGTATATAACGCACCGTGGGTGCTGAGTTTATGGTATCCAAGAAAACTTACTATAAATCTGTAGCATTGGGGTTTGGAAAGCCATTGGAAATCACCAATTTGAAACCGAAAGGTATTCCTAGAGGTCCATGGTCAATTGAAATTAACAAAATAATTGACTTACTTCGCCATATTAAAATGTTTGGTTTTTATGAAGGCACACACATGAAATGCAATAATCACAGGCATTGTTTTATTGTAAATATTGCGCGTTTGGTGATCTGAAAACTCACTGGAAATTAACAAAGGAAATTAATCTTCTGCTAAGGTAAAAAAATTTTATTTGTAGCTCTCACGAGGGAGGGTCCATAAGCCTCTGCAAAACTTAAATTGCTTCTACCAATGGAAGTTCTTGTTAGGGAGAAGATTTTGGAGAAATCAAAGTGATACGCATCCATATTGTATGTATTGGAAATTACGAGTATTGTAAAGAATATCATTCGGACTGCAATTCGTTTATATTTGCGGAAATAAAGTATGACGAACTCGGTAGTGGATCGGGGTGGATTTTATAGAGTATTTTTGGTATCTTCGACGACGGATGTTCGCGGATCCTTAACGATATTACTTAAAAGATCTCGGACTTCATTTAATTGTAGGTAAATGTGTCTGATAAATCTACAGACCAGCAGTTCAAAACCATAGTTTTGATATGAGTTAATTCTTTGGAAAACCTTATTTAGCAGTTCGCCAGATTCGGATGGCAGCACCATTAGTTAAAATTATCTAAGATTTTTTTTTACTTACACACCAAATGTGTCGCTTAAAAGTATGTACATAATTAGTTTTCTATCCGCAGTCATCTTTTAATAATCCATAAAAGTCCCAAATGCCAAGCCTAAAAAGTAAAATTCCAGAAAACTCCCAGTGTTCGGGAGCTTAATATGTTGTAAGAAGTCAACAATAGCTAACGCATTGCGAATCTTCGAATGTTAGAAATTAATGAACGCCAGACAAGTGTGGGATAAAAAAACAAGTCGACGACCAACTGAAACAAAGTGTATGAAATAATCCATGTTCCCACAGCATAAATGAATGAATTCAATTCACATACATTTGTAGATACGTCTATCACGTCTGCTAACACACCGCGGCTTCACTCCAACAGAAAAAGGCTCACTATAACGCTACTCAACCGCGACGGAAGGCCATTTAAGTACTAAAATGAGCAGTAAATTTCTGATTCCATTCAAAGTTTACCTCGTAGAGCAGCCAGTTAGACAAATGACCGAGCAAACTCATAATCTATAGAACTACAACAATAGGCAAGTTACACATGTAAAATACATACAAACATACATATGTACATATGACAAACGTCCAATGGTGATTAGCAACGCAAACCAAAACAAAAGCGCAGACTATGTGCGGAGCTGGAAACAAAAGCATAGCTGAATGGCGAGAAATAGACATAGACGTGAAAATTGGTCAAACTTAAATGCCATTGAAGCAGCCCACTGAACCACAACGTCGCAAAGCGTGAGCAATGCCACCCGGCTAATGTTTTCGCTAGCGACCACTAGCCCATTCGCTCGCTCCAACCCTTGTTCGAGCGGAGGTCGTTGTTTTTGTCGACGCAGTTATTTGTAAGCTAATAAACACCCCACCGCAATATGGAGATGGGCCACAGCACTGGAAGGGGTGGAGCAATGTAGCGACGCAGTCAAGCAAGACAATCATCATTTTTATGCGATTTGCGGATTTTGCTGTTTTTGTCGACTGCTACATGCCGTCCTCACCTCTCACCACCGCCGCGCTCACTTGTCGCTTGTCATCTCCAGCATAGCGACAATGACGTGCCCCTGTATTTGTCATTGTTGTCATATGTTGGTAGGCAGTGAATCGTTAGCGTCTTGGTCGGTCGGTAGATACATCAGTATGTTATGTCTGTCGGTCCGTCACATAATCGATACATAATTTTGCCCTACTATCGAGAGTGTGTGTACACTGATGAGCGCGCCGCAGCGCAACGAAAGAGAGCTCGCCGCCCACAAACCATCGAGGTAAACAAAACAAAACTTAAAAGAGAGCGCTGTGTTGCGAAAGAGCGGCATACTAAGTGGGAAAACATATTGCTGTTATGTATTGCTTGGCTGTTCATTCGGCCGTTGGCAAGTGGGTGGCTGATAATTCGGGCCGTCGACAAAGCTATAGTCGAGTGTTGCGCGCCTAAATAGATACTTAAAATTGTTGTTGCATTGTTGGATTTCGGTGTTTTGTTAACCTAATCTTTGCATTTTATTTACGTTGTTCGTTAGTCATTTTCTGGAATTTTATTTGCATGCATACTGTGTACATACGGAAATTAATTAGATCTATTTCAAGAACAACTGAATGTCAATATGAATATAAGAGATGGCTCAGGTAGTTTTGAAACAACCTTATTAATAAAAAAATATATATTTTAACAAATTTTTATTAATTCATTTACCTTTACCGAGATTTGATTTATGAACACTTTCAATCTACATATATTAACTGCGATAGATAAATATCATCGGGTTGTCGATCCAAATTTATCGATATTTTCCTAATTCGATAATATTTTTGTACTAGGAATACTATATTATTCTTTCGGAGATAATCAGTAAGTTCGTAACTTTAGGTAGTTTTAAAATATGTCTAAGCTACCCACTTCTGGTTTTCTTCTGATGCACCAGATTCTGGTGTATTTTACTCACTATTTTTATACTCTCGCAACCTGTTGCTACAGAGTATAATAGTTTTGTTCACCTAACGGTTGTTTGTATCACCTAAAATTAATCGAGTTAGACATAGGGTTATATATATATAAATGATCAGGATGAAGAGACGAGTTGAAATCCGGGTGACTGTCTGTCCGTCCGTCCGTCTGTCCGTCCATCCGTCTGTCCGTCCGTCCGTCCGTGCAAGCTCTAACTTGAGTAAAAATTGAGATATCTTTATGAAACTTGGCAGACATGTTTCATGGTACCGTGAGACGGTTGGTATTGCAGATGGGCGTAATCGGACCACTGCCACGCCCACAAAACGCCATTAATCAAAACAAATAACTTGCCATAACTACGCTCCGCAATAAGATATAAGACTGTTATTTGGTACACAGGATCACATTAGGAGGGCATGTGCAGTTAAAATTTTTTTAAAAGTGGGCGTGGTCCCGCCTCTAATAGGTTTAATGGCATA